CTTGCGTCTTGGCCCACTCGCACTTCTTCGCATTGATCTTGAAGTTAGCCTTTCTAAGCTTCTCCAAGACCTGCCTCAGATGACCCTAGTGCTCCTAGAGGGTCTTACTAAAGACTAGGATATCATCTAAGTAGACTACTACAAATTTATCTAACCATGGTCTAAACAGGTCATTCATACAACGCTGAAAAGTAGCTGGCGCGTTGGTTAGTCCAAAGGGCATCATTATAAACTCAGAGAAATACTTACAACCCTGCACCCGATCTAAAAGATCGTCTATCCTGGGCAGCGGCTCAGCATTCTTCACGGTGATCGCATTTAATCCCCTATAGTCTATACACATTCTCAACTCTCCTTCCTTCTTGGGGACAAACAAAACGGGTGCTCCAAAAGGAGACGAACTGGGCCTGATCCACCCTTTCTCAAGGAGTTCGTCTAACTGCTTGCGAAGCTCCTCTAACTCTCTAGTGGACATCCTGTAGACTGCACCCTTAGGTGTTCTACTGCCAGGCTCTATCTCTATCCTATGCTGGATGGGTCGCAACACTACTCCTGTTGGCGACTCAGTCAAATCTTTGAACTCCTCCAGCAGCTTGGCAATTGTTGGGTCTGTGGAGTTATCCTTCTTCTGGTCCTGAGTGACAGGTCTAACATACACCACAAAGACTTGTTCCTCTAACTGCTCCTTTCTTACTAATCGCGCGAACGCGGGAGCACTGAGACAGCAATGCGCCAAGGTGTTATCTACACCGGACGCATGGAACAGGCGAGCAGTCTTCACTTCGCCTGACGGACCAGGGAGCCTACACTCATGCTCTCTCAGATGGAGTGTGGCCCCCGCTGCCTCTCCCCAATCCATTCCTAACACTACATCGAAAGGAAGGTCATCTTGTATGAGGAGAGACAGGGAATGGAGAACTTTCTCCAACTTCCCATCCTTCTCTAGGCGAAAGTACGCTTGGACTCCCTTTACATAGTCCTCAACGCACATTGTGCGGTTGTCTGCGAGAACACTGACTATAGGGTCTATTAACTTTTGGACCTTTAGTCCTAGCCTCAGCTTCTTCAGCGCCCTACGGCTGATATAACTACGGGTAGCCCCTGAGTCTATAAGGGCCCCTACCCTACTCCTAAACACCTCTACATCTACCAAAATCAGTTGTCCTTTACTCTCCTTCTTCATTTTGGCCCAGGCTGGCATCCTCTCCTTTAATTCTTCTGCCACACCTGTGAGGGACGTGCCTAAAGAGACGCTTACACAGGCGGTCTCTCGACAACTATCTAGGCACGGGCCTGCAACCTTTGCCATAGGCTCATGTGGGTTGGGAGTGTCTTGTTCGCGCGCGTTCACTTCTCCACATGGCCTTGAAGTAGGGGCAGTTGTGACCCCTACTGGCGGCTGCCTTTTGACTGCTGGGCAGCCCAACGGGCCTGTCTATACTTTGGACAAAATTTGATAACGTGGGCCGGGTCACCACAGAATACGCACTGACCCATGTTCACGCGTTCCTGCCATAATTGTCGGTCCAAGCCCAAGTCTTCCCAGGGCCTGCCCTGCGGCAAGCCTGGATGCGATCCTCCTTGAGGTGCCCTTCCACTTCCTCGTTGTGGGGACCGGTTACCCTGGCGATTTAACGGGGGACCTTGACCCCTACCTCCCGCTTGGCGGTTTCCCTGTCCGCCAACCCCCTGTGCGCCCGGTCCTCGGCCTCCCATGGCCTGGCCCCTTTGGCCCNCTTCCACCACTTGCCCACTTGCCTAGACCTACAGTGGGCTGACTTCCGAAAGGCCACTTCTAGAAACCTCTATTTGGCCTTTCGGTGCTGTAGCAGCTACGACTCTACCCTTTCAGGTAAGTAGCAGCTACGACTTTGACCCTTCGGACAGTCTACAGCTACAACCTCTGGACTGTCTAGACTCCTACCCGACAGGTCTACAGTTCGAATCCCCTATACCCTGTAACCTACGAAATCCTACCTACCACTGGCGGTCCTACAGGTCACAGGTTCGAATCTACGGGTTGACACAGGTATTGTATACAGGTAAGGTGGGGAACTAGAGATCGAGCCCTGGGATCTGCATTAGTTACTGCAAACTGGTGAATACCGTTTCAAGCATGTGGTTCACGTGCCTTGTGCCGTGAGGATTATGACGGTATAGTCCATGCGGGTTTTTGCTTCCATACGTACGATGACAGTCAGTACCGTACTCATGTACGGCACCCCGACATGTCATGTCCAATTTGTAGACAGGGGCTGGAACGGCAATGCCTCTATAATTGCGGTCGACGTGCCTATGTGTTCCTAGCATGTACGAGCCACGTAGCCTGTGACATATGTCTGCGCTGTGCCATTCGATGCAGCAACTGTGACTGCGAAAATTGGATGCAGTGCTTCCATAGCCCACACCTGAACCGGTCCTGTCTGGTCTGTAGGGGTGGCCACTCGCCATAGGTTTTTTTTCTTTTTATTTTTTTAAGAAGTTTGCTTCAGCGGTGAATATTTAGAAATCTGTGAAACCTGTCATACACCTTTCCCCTGCTCTTTGCATGTCATACTCTATCCTGCCCTCCACATATTTCTTTCCTTCCCGTTGCCCCTACCTCCCCTGCCCCATACTCCTAGAGAACTCCGCTTTCTACCCCTTACCCTCCACCCTCCACTCCACTCCCTTTGTACTACTAACAAATACATACGAATGAGCATCATAGACGATATGAAGGTCAGAAATGAAATGAACGGAAGTATGAAGGTGAAGGAGCGACACAAAGACTGTATAAGCTGAAGATCTGAAGTGAAATGAACAGGAGTATGAAGCTCTGAAGAGATGCACAGGAGCATACCTTCCCTTTTACTCTGCCTCCTGAAATAACGTGCAAGTGGGCCGTGAAGGCGCACGGGGATGTGGGCAGCTGCCGCTCAACCACAATCAACGTGGGCAGCCTTGTGCGTAAGAGGCACAGTACAAGGGGAGCTGCAAGAACAATGAAAGGGGTACCCCAAGGACAACCAAAAAACTGTCTAATTATAAAATTGCTTTAATATGTTGGACATCTCAAATGCGCTCGTTGTCTGCAATAGGACAAAGACTGCTTTGAATCTGAATCTATTCACCTGCGTGGAATTGGTGCTGTTGTGGGTAAAATCTAAAATACACACACACACACACACACACACACACACACACACACACACACACACACACTTTTCATATATTAATTAACCTTTTTTTATTTTTCTCATTTATTAGCATTATTGTTTTTTGTTTTTTCTTTATAAAAACTACTTCCTAATTTAGCTATGAATAATTTAACAATAAAAGATTAATAAAAATATTGGATAATAAACAATTATTTTTTAATAATAACAATATAAATGTAAAAATTAGGTAATAAACTAATAATAAAAGAACTATAATATAAAAACTTAATAATTCCCTGCCTGGACACGGCTACAGATATGGAACATACTATACCACTGCTAGGATTAAAAAAGGCCTCTGCATATGACGTACCTCCCCCCAATATACAACTCACTTCCTGTTGCACGCTATGGTATTTACCACGCCTCCCACAAATCACAAACTACATCATTTTATACAGTATATACGCCACTTCGTACACAGTTATGGGTTTACTTGGCACTTCGCTCCAGTACACATATCGTACTACTTTAATAATATTGCCTTCCCGCGCACGACTCAGAATGTTTCACACACAAAGCCACACACCTGAACAAAGAAGCCCGCAATCCACAGCACCACGATCCTGAAACGACACAACCGAACACACTACAATGCGCTCGCACGCGGGACAAAAAAAGAAACGACAAAACACTGACTCCACCATAGCCAATGCGCCCCCCAAAAAAACAACAGAGAATGAGACAAGTACACACGGGCCGATCCGCGTACAGACAAAGGAAGAAAGATACAACCTTGACTTCTTGTCGGCCATACCCATGCACGAATGGTTCTACTGGACCCCCTCCCTGCCACACCCTCATACTTACCAAAATACACACCCTGAGACGGCGTTCCCCTTAATAGTTACAAAGTTACTCCCTCAATTTAACCACTCACATTAGTAAGAAACCGTGCACACAAACACACCCATACCATCATCTACGTAAAATTATGGCTATCGCAAACCAAGAAGTAGTGATACGGCGCAGTAAGCCCCCCACAACCAGCTGCACCACATACACCCCGCATACCTGGACAGCTATCCCCGCCAAAATGTATCTCTTACCCCCATACCCAACCTACCCCTTCCACGATATACCCACCCTATACTCTTCAGAAATCCATCTTACACCAGCCAAACTCTCACTCTATCCCCCATTCTCTACACATAATATACAAGAGAGTTGGCTACTTCCATTACCGTTGGCGCTCCCGTGCTCCAGCGCACGAACTCTCGCCTGCATGTCTACCTCCTGAACTCATTCGCAACTCAGCTGTCCCTCTGGTAGGCAGCGCTGTCTGCCTAGCTGATTCCTGCTCCCGAGAAATCAGTGAGACGTACGTCTGTACACCGGACGCTCGGCTTACGCTGTCGGCTTCCTAACGTCACACTTCGCAGTGCACGTAGTGCTATGGCGGCGACTGATCCTCAAGCTGCACCGAGCATGACCTCGCAGGTATGGAATCCTAACCTCCCCCCTTCCCCTTTCTTACCTTGCTTCCCTGACTTCCCAAATTACCCATTCCCCTCCTTCCCCCACACTGCTAACCGGAGCTAACTCTAATCCCTCTGATGAGCTGCTATGGGTGCTATGCAGCGAAAAGCGCGCTTAAGGGCGTGCACCCCCCCTACGGTTGGGACCTATCCCTCTCCTAACACCTAACCTGCTAACACTAATTACTAATACCCCTTGCTCCCTAATAAAACCCTCCCCTCTTTCTCTTCCC